GCCCACACACACACGCACCCGGCCTGAGTTTAAGCCACCAGGTCCGGGACACAAACCGCAGTCAACTACATGGGAGTCCAGTGACATAGCCATTATGCCAACTGCTGGTCCCTCATTTACTTCTTTATAAATCAGAAAGAACACTACCGCCTGGGCAGAGGGACGATTATGGAGGTGCGTGTGGCAGTGAAGTCAGATGCCTAGCTGGTGCCCGCACACGAGCGCCCCATACCTGACAGGCAAGGCCAGGGGAGGAAGGGCACTACGACACAGCCAGAGCTGTGGAGGGCTCCTTTCTCTCCAGGGGACCCTGGCAGGTTCCCTCCACTCGTGCCTGCAGTGGCCTAGGAGCCCCAGGAGGAAGCATGTTGCAGTGACCTTCTGAGCGGGGTCCCAGCCCAGGCTTGGCAGAGACAGACCCTGCAGGTTGGAGAACTGTGCCTCCTGTCTGCTGATGGCAGGGTGGTGTCTCCACAGCACAGCCCCCCACTGCCTCCCTCCAGAGCTCTGCACCCACAACTTGGGCTTGGCTTCAGAAAGGCGCAGGCAGCGAGAGGGAGACTGAGGAAAGAAGCCCACTGCCCATCACCTAGTGACCGCCCCTCTTGGAGGAGAGGGCTCAGCAACTGCACTTTAAAGGGAGGTCAGAATCCAGCCGGGCAGCGGCCCTGGGGCACTGAGTCCGCCCTGGAGCGGCCAGGACCAGGAAGGCCAGGAAGGTCCTGTCTGCTCCTACCTGGAGAAGCCGGTCAGGACCAGCGGCAGATTGGGACACCCCTTTAAAGGCTGTTGGCCGTTGCGGCCAGCAGTGCAGCCCCCCCATACCAGGGCTCGCTTTGGAGATCTTGTGCCCGGCCCCCTCCCCCCACAGGCTCCTGGAGCTGGAAGCCAGGCTCAGAGCAGCCGGGGTCGTGCCCTGGCACAGCGAGAGAGCTGGGCCTCATGGGGCCCCACGGACAGCCGGGTTGACCACCAGAAGTGACAGCGTCCCCTAGTGTAGGAGTACCGACTCTGCATCTTGGAGGGCTGGGGGACAGGGCGGTCACCAGCACCCTCGGGGCAGGCCGAGGTCAGAGGTGAGCAGCGAACCCACCCGAACTGCGCTTCCGGCCTGAGCCAGGGCCTTGGTCAGGCTCTGCGGCCACGGCGTCTGGGTCGGGAAACGGCGCCCCCAGGCCGAGCGCCCCCAGCCCCTTCCCTTGCAGCTCCCCGGCCCGCCC